GGTTATGTCATGAATTCCTACAGTCAACAGTGGTTCAAGTCTTGGACCCGGCAGCTTAAAAAACTCATGCCAGGCACGTGTGCATATGTGCCCGAAATCCCAAGAAGAGAATGGAGGAGAAGGGAGTGATTTTTGTCTCTCTCTGTCTTTCCGGAGAGCACATGTGCCCTACAGCAAAAATCAATCAATCAATAAAAAAGTTCTGATGCCAATAAACAGATGTGGTGACTATTTCAGACTTAGCAAATTCTGCCCTTTATTAAGGTATCTTTAGGCCAAATCCAGACAGCTAGCCATTTCTCTAAAGAAAGCCTTACTGGGACACAGCCACATGCATTCGTTTACATACTGTCTTCAGCTGCTTTCACACTAGGGCTGTAGAGTTGGCAAAGACCTGCAAAACCCAAAGTATTTACCATTTGACCCTTAATGGGAAGTCTGCCAACCTCCACGTTAGTGGTTTCTTTCATGACTTAAGCTACAGGCAAAATTTATGAAGTGATCATTTTACAACAAAATAAAATTAAATGTATAGCCAATTTCCCTTCTATACCATTCACAACACTATCTGGTGGATGGGTCTCTAAGGAAAAGGGATATATATGCTTGACTCAAGCAAAAGAGGGGCAAGTTTGCCCACTTATAACTGCTGAATACAATGCTAACTGTAACGCTTCCTTCACAGAAGGCTACAAAGGGCAACTAGAAAGAGATTTTTAAAAAACTGTTACCTTGAGACCAGCAGTTAGTGTAATGGCTATATCGCTGAACTCCCATGTAGCTGACCACGGTTTGAGTCCCAGACCCAGTGGCTTAAACTCACACCAGGTGTGTGTGCGTGCGTGCCCAAGATCCTGAGAGGAGAATGGAGGAGAAGGGATTGTGGCGTGGCCATCCCCCCCCCCGGGGGGGGGGTGTTGATTTCTCACTTTCTATTTCTCTGTCTCTCTCTGTCTTTCTGGCGAGCTCATGTGCCCTATTGAAACAAACAAACAAACAAACAAACAAAAAAACTCTCCAAAAAGAGAAGGAAAAAAAAGTGTAATCTTCAGTTGGAGAATATTAACCTAATTTAGGAACAAATTCTAATTAAGCCAGCATTCCTCTATATAATCTGTCTGTGGAGAATTAATGTTTTCTACTATCCCCATTTCTTTCAATGACCCCATTTCAAGAGTTTATAAATAAACTCAAATGTGTGGGCCCAGCAGGTGGTATGGTGGTTAAGGTGCTAGACTCCTACATGGCTGATCCTGTTGCTTGAAATCACACCAGGTACGTGTGTGTGCCCAAAATCCTGAGAGGAGACTGGAAAAGAAGGGACTGTGGTGTGGCCATCCCCTCTGAGGACTGGTTTCTCACTTTCCCTCTTTCTGTCTCTTTCAGGTGAGCACACATGCCCAAGGGTAAAAACCTAAAAAATAAAATAAAACAATTTAAAAAACCCTCAAATTCGCTATGGTTCTTTACTATTTCACATTATATAATCAAACAACTATTTTCTAATGTACTATTTCAGAACTATTTATTCCAAGTACTGAACTCCCAGAGGAGTTTATGGCCTGCAATGGTAAAAAGTAGCCACAAAAACTGAACTATCAAATTTTGTCTTCTAGCCTGAACGTATACTACAATCTGAGTAACAATCACACTGTCCACTCCCCAAAGGTATTTAAGGATAGGGACAATAAATAAACATTAAAAGCCCCCCAATTGGGCCAGCAGGTAGCGTAGTGGTTAAAGATGCTGGACTTCCACATGGCTGACTGCGGTTCAAGACCTGGACCTGGCAGCTTGCTTTCTCACTTATCTTTCTCTCTTGTTTTCCTCTGGTTGAATTAAAATAATAATAATAATAGTAAATAAAGTTAAATAAAATAATTCTTAAAAAAAAAAAAACTCCCCCAATCCTTGGCCAGCTTTAGTTTATGTTTTTATGTGTGTATGTGTGTATGTATACGTATACTAATTTCATTTTATTTATTATTATTGTTCTTCAATTTGACCAGAAAGAGAGAGAGAGAGAGAGAGAGAAAGCAAGTCACCAGGTCTGGGACTTGAACTGTAGTGGGCCATGTAGGAGTCTGGTGCCTTAACCACCATACCATCTGCTGCCCTTTATTATCTCTGGAAACCTTCCAGTTCTCCCCCTCTCCTTCTGTAAAATGGCATTAATATCAATTGGTCAAGGCTGTTTTTAGATAATAAATTAAGTGCTTGGTAATTTTGAAGTCTGTACACAAGTCCAGCATGCTCTCTCGTAGCATCTGAAGTATGGCAAGAAACCTACTTATGCCAACACAGATCACTTCTAAATGGCTTAAACCAAAGACTAACCATTAATATTAACTAATGTTTATCAAATGTCAAGCAATTGTGCCAATTGCTTTACTTACATTTTTCTCATTTAATCCTTAGAACACACAGGAGACAGATGTTTCTATTATCCTATACAACTGTAAACTGAACAAAGTGAGTTAGAGATGCTCATGTGCTGAAATCATCTATCTCCTAAGTCTTGGAGCCAGACACAAAATCAAGTCTCCCTATCTTTACAGCCAATGTTCACGACTGCATTGCTACACACTGTGCCACCTTAATTAAGTCAGAAATGGACACAAACTATTAATATGAAACACAGTCAGGGCCTCTAATGAATTTGGCAGTCTCATATTTTTAAATATAAAAACCAAAATTACCAGATATTCAAGGAAAGCATCTATCTAATACAAAACAGAGAAAAGCAATTTTATATATGACTATAGAGGAAAAAAGAAAGCATCAATAGTACTATTATTTTATAGAAAAAGAGGGAAAACATTTGGGGAGGAATTCATCAATAAAAATTTATAAGCTTTTCTGAGAACTGTAGGACACAAGTTTCAAGTTGAAATGGGTTCACCAAATACTCAGCAGTGAATTAAGTTAAACACATACCAAATTATGTCATCATGGAATATAAGAATACTAAGAACAAAAGATCCTGTTTCTCAAGGAGAAAAAAAAAAATTTAAGATTAAAAAAATCAAAATAGTGGGACCAGCAGATGGTATAATGGATACATTGCCGGACTCCCATGAAGTCGACTGCGTTTTGAGTCCTGGACCCAGTGACTTGAAACTCACGCTGAGCACGTGTGTGTGTATGCCCAAAATCCTGAGAGGAAAATGAAGAAGGGATTAGTGTGGCCATCCTCCCTGGGAAGTGATTTCTCGCTCTGTCTCTCTGCCAAGCGCATGCACCCTATAGCAAAAATTTCTGAAAAAATCAAAACAGTTTCAGATTTATCAACAGCAACACTGAAAACCAGAGGCAATGGTGCAATGCCTTAACATTTGGAAGGAAAATGATACCCAATCTAGAATTTTATATTTAGCCAACTACCAACCAAATGTCTGGAGAGAAAAAGACATTTTAAACCAGCAAGGTCTTAAAAACATTTGCTTCCTATGCCAACATTCTCAGACACTGCTAGAGAAAGGGCTCCATCAAAATAAGAGAATGCACCAAGAAGACACCAGAAAACAGAAAACAAGAGACCCAACATGGAAGAGGTAAAAGACTTCCCAGGATGAAGGTGAAGGAGTTGCTCGAGTATGGTCATATACCAGGCATATAAGGCTATCAGTCCTGACTGGGGCAGGTCAGAGGCTCCATGGGAGACTTAATCAGGAAGGGCACCAGCAGATGGTGGAATGGTTACGTTGCTGGACTACCATGTACTCCCAGGCAGTCAACCGCAGTTCAAGTCCTGAACCTGGCAGCTTAAAACTCACACTGGGCGCATATGTGTACATGCCTAAAATCCTGAGAGGAGAATGGAGAAAAAAGAGATTGCGGTGTGGCCATCACCCCTGGGGGTGATTACTTGCTTTCTGTCTGTCTCTCCGGTGAACAAATGTGCCCTGTTGCAAAAATTTCTCTTAAAAAAATTTTAAAAAGACTTATTTAGGAAGATGAAAGAGTATCTAATGAAATGAATATTGAGCAACTTAGATATTGGCAAAAAGTTTAGTTGATTTAGGGATAGCCTCATAGTTCAGCAGTTAAGCGCTATATAGAGGGAGCTGGGTCTCACATGGTCTACTACAGCGCCGTACAGGCTCACGTCATGTGTGTCCAAATCCAAAGAAAATAGAGAAGTGAAGAAAGGATTGCAATGTGACCACACCCCTTTGGGGGGGGGGGGACTTTCTCTCTCTCTCTTGGCACATGCATGAGCACTATTGCATGCAAAAAAAAAACTTAGTTGATCTAGTGGAAAGTTCAGAGAAAATTAAGCCTAAGAAAAGTCAACAGGTATGAAGGAAAGGAAAATCACACATAATACTTAGAATCCTAATGATAGTGACCCAATCAAAATGATACTACATTGTACACTGGAAGAAGAAATGATGAGAAATGTGTACTTCGTGGACATAAGGGGAGATAAGAGACCTAGATACACATTAAAAAGTCAGAAGACAATGTCTAAAACAGAAAAGTCATGAAGTAACAACACCATCATGCTATTTAGAGACATAAGGGTAAATACCACTATAATTAGCTAAAAAGTGAACACAGTGGCTCTAAAGAAGCTAAAGACCACTCCCTTCACCCATCAAACTTGGAGAATTAGTTGACTTTGATGGTATTCCATATATTTAGCATCGAAAGGTTGCCTTTTATAAGATTGTCGGGCAATAAAACAACTCCGTTTTATTAAAATTAGCAAATTCTCAAGCCCGAAGCAAGAGAAACACAATTTAACGCAGCTTCTTATATCCAGTATCGTAAGAACCTCAGCTGTGGTTTGCAGCAAAAGTGAAATAAGAAAAACAACCCAATTTTTCTTTAGAATGTTTAGTAAAAATATAGACTAATGGTCCTGTGTTTAAGTGTTACTGTGGCTGTGCGCTGACTTCCATAAAACATAACTAATTGCAAAGGACTCTTCACAAATACACTTCAGACAGAAGTAAAAAGGTAAACAAACAGAAATAACTGACAAGACAATGCCATTTCAGACATAATTTTCTTATAATTAATACTTGCTAGAAAATGCATTATTTACAATTACACCAACATTCATGGAGGCCAAATATTACAGGCATAAGGGCACAATATGACCACAAGATGTCTTTCCATACTTCCCAAATAGGTTTGTATTTTAGCTATGAAGTTCAGTTACCAGACCCAAGCTTGTTCTTAACAAGTGAAATTTTTATGTCCATTCAATCAAAGAGTCTCTTACACCTCTCTGGGCCTATTCATGTGGAGACAGGAGCAGAAGCTGTAACCAGGTTCTTCATATCATATATTTGCATGGGATGCCCAATCTTCATATGCTGTCCAATTTCTTTAAAATAAAAGGAGCTGAAAAGAAAAACAAATAAACCCTAAATCAGTTTTTAAATTGGCCCATAGGCAACCTTACAGAATTCTAAGATTGGGGGAAATGTCTACAGGTTTAATTTGGTACGTTTTTAAAAACAACTCCAAGTAACAGTCAAGCTTTTGCCTAAACAACTAACTGCTGTCCAAGTAACCCATTCCAGTGTCATTTGGCTATTATTATTATAACATTCTTTTAAAAAGAATTATCGAATTAAAATGTAATCAGAAAGAGAGAGTGAGAAAGTGAGAAGGGACTCAAACCAGTTGGCCATATGGGAGTCCAGCACCCTAATCACCATGCCACCTGCTGGCCTCCTTAACATTCGTTTTTCATTCTTACACTTTTTAAAGTCCCTGCCAGCCCAGATCCTGAGGGGCCTCAGAGTGGTCCTGGGACATGAATCCAGGATCTTTCCCATGTGGGTATAGTTGTGTCACACACCAGTAGGTAGGTGTAAAGCCAACACAGCCCGAGCCCTACATAAGACCTTTCTTCCAGGTAGTTTTCTATGTTAGGGCCATAAGAATAAATCAAGTCTTCTTTCAAATCGTAATCCTTTACTTTGGTGATTTAACTGCAAAAGGAACAAAACTCTAGAGGAAATAAATGGGCATTTTTTTTTTACCTCAATCATTATGAAGTTCTAATAAGATGGTATACTTAGAAATGTCTAAAGGGAGGGACCAGCAGTTGGTGTAACGGCTATGTCGTTGGACTCATATGTAGTTGGCTGTGGTTTGAGTCCTAGACCCGGTAGCTTAAACTTACACTGGGCATGTGTGCGTGCGTGCCCAAGATCCCGAGAGAACAATGGAGGAGAAGGGACTGCAGCGTGGGCAGCCCCCCTGGGGGGTGATTTCTTGCTTTCTGTCTCTCTGGCGAGCACACACATCCTTTTAGCAAAAACCCCTCAAAAAAAAAAAAAAAAGGAAATGTCTAAAGGGGCCAGCCAGTGGCATGGTGGTTGAGGCACCGGACTCCTGAAAGCTTGACTGCGGTTTAGGTCTTAGTTTCTCACTTTCCCTCTCCCTCTTTCTCTGGTGAGTGCACATGCCTTTATAATACTAAAATCAAATAAATAATTCATTAAAAAAGAGAAATGTTTAGAAAGTAAGACATGTTGTCATACAGATCTAAGACATAATATTTACTGTCCCGTGTAAAGGTATTGTGGCCAGAAAAGCTACCAGAATGATATTCTTTCTCAGTATCATACTAACATTTTGTTAATATTAAACTGAAGATATCAAAATCTGTTAAAGCATCAGTCAGCAGTTCATTCAATCTTTTTTTTTAAACCATTCTTAATCAGGAGAAAACCATTCATCAAATTATGAATGGATTAAAAAATACAGTATAACCATACAATGGAAATCTTATTCAGCCATTAGAAGAAACAAAGTTCTAAGACATGCTAGAACCTGGACAAACCTTGTGAACATTACGTTAAGTGAAATCAACCAGACACAAAAGACCATGCACTGTGCCAGTCCATTTATATGAATTGTCCAGAACTAGAGAAAAAGTAAGATTTGTAGTTGCCAAGGGCTGGAGAAATGGGTAAATAGAGTGACAGATAGTGGATATGGTGTTTCTTTTAGAGGAAAATAAAATGCTCTAAGATTGTGGCACAGCTGCACAACTGTATGCTAAAACCCACTGACCTCTATATACTTCAAGTATGTGCAGTGTAACTATGCAAATTACATCTTACATTAAGAAGTCCGGACCAGCAGTTGGTGTAATGGCTATGTCACTAGACTGCCCATGTAGTCGACCGCAGTTCGAGTCCTGGACCCGGTGGCTTAAACTCAAGCCGGGCACGTGTGCATGCATGCCCAAGATCCCCAGAGGAGGAGAAGGGATTGCAGTGTGGCCATCCCCTCGGGTGGTGATTTCTCACTTTCTGTCTCTCTGTACTTCTGGCGAGCACATGCACCCTATAGCAAAAACCTCTCAAAAAAAAAAAAAAGAAAAAAAGAAATGATAACTATCAATATAACATACAAGGGTCATAGAGAAGAAGTAAGTATTTTCTAGCAGCTAGGTAAACAACAACAAAAAGTTAAGAGGAGAAAAATCAATAAATTTGGGCCGGACAAGAAGCTGTTGAATATTTGGGCGGTTCTGTTTCCCAAGGCTCCCTCTCCTGGGGAGGCAGGGTAATTTCAGAGACAAGGAAAAAACGCACTGAAGTAGGGCGATCTTGGCCTCAGTGAGCTCTCGCCTATAACAGGAGTCTTCTATAGAATGACCTTGGTACGGCCTTCGTTCACTTGAACCACCCTTGCCTCTCATCCGCACCAGCAACAATGTACAGCATTGAGAAATGAAAAAGATAATGAACTGAGAAAAATGATGCAAAGGTAAGTGGCTTCTGAGACTCTTATCAGTAAAATGATCCTGTCTCCAAAACAGCTTCCAGTTCTTAACATTCGGTGTTCTTGTAACTCTGAAACCTTGCCTAAGTCCCTTGTGAAAATCGAGTTATTCTAAAAAGGGATATATAAAACCTACCATGCCTCCCCCTACAGGCCACTAACGTGGTCTTGTAAATGGAAGAAACTTTCCAACTCTAAAATCAATGCTTATACCCTTGTCTTATTTTTTCAAACCAATAAATAAAAGCAATTATTTACTTCACTTGCTGTACAAATGAACACAAAGGACACAAAATCTTTTGGATTTCCAAAGTCAGCACTGAAGGAAGGGAATCTAGAGGTAAGAGTTCTGGACTAGCACAAGTTCGTTCACTGAATCGCAGAATGACCTTGGGACAGCCATTTCGCTACTCTGAGGCGTCCTGTTTGCAAAATGAGAGTTGTTGTGGGGAATACTTCAAGCTCTAGCAACTCGAACCGTCTTAAGGCTGGGCAAGCCTGGACGATCAGTAGCACGCGCGCCGGGCCTGGGCGGTGACGAGCTCCCCGCCGGTCGCACGGTCACAACCCGGGAGAACACTCACTGACTCGCAGCAGGGCCACGTAGATGAGGAAATTCCGTATGGAAGAGATCACGTCTTCGCGCATCTTCCGTTTCATCTCCTCCGGGTCCAGTTTCGGCGCGAGGCCCTCGATCCGAAACATCGCAGATCTGCCTCCCAGGCTCCCAGCCGCTGCTCTGCTGTCCTAGGCGGCGCTTCACGCCCGGAACTCGGCTCAACCCTCCTTCCTGTTCCAGGCGCGGGTTTCCGCTCGCAGTGACGGGAGCCCGCAATGGACAATCCGCGTCCGGTCCGACCACTATGAAGAAAGGCGGCCTGAAGGGGGCGGCCGCGATCGTAGTCACGCAGAGTCAGTTTGCTCCACGCCGTGTAATAACCCGAGTGTGGATCCGGGGGCGCCTCGCGTCGGGGCGCTCTTGCGTCCGGAGGTGGCTGTGTGCATAGGTACTGCCATAAATAATAGCTAACGTTTATGGAGTACTCAATACACTTCTACCCCATGAATTAGTCATTGTCTTCGTTTCCTAGATTAGAAACGGACACACGGAGAGCTTTAAAACGAGAACTTGCCCAGATGTGCTTTAGCACCCCAGGAAGAGAGATGAAAGAAACTATATTAGCAAAATTTGACAAGGCTTAAGCTGCTGGTTAGTACATCATTTTAGTTAATTATTCTAATCTATCTTGACTATATTTGAAATGTTTCCATAAATTAAACAAAAAGGTGAAGATGGGAAAACTTGACCAAGACTACACAATTAGTAAATGAGAGAGCAGGGTTTTATACCTCTATAGGCCTGTGGGACCTCAGAGACAGAGTTGTCTATTTTCTTTCTTCCTTTTTAAAGTTTCCTTCTTCTATGAGGCATGGAGACAGAAGCAGAGAGAGAGAGAAATAGCACCTCCAACAGGATATTGAAGCAGCCATTCCCCCCCAGCTTCAGTCAGCCCTGGATCCAGAGCACCTATGTGCCCAGTGTACTCAGGGGGTGTCTCCAGAAGCAAACCTCCAACCTTCCCATTGGGATTTATTCCTATGTACCACTTGTCCAGTCCCCAGAGATAGGGCTTTTAACATTTTTCATATGACTGTGATATTCTTATTTCTGGAATTAACTTATTCTTACAAATGATCACATTGACCAGTTATACAGCATGTGTGAAGCAAGCTCAGATCTGATCAGCATTTTACAGATAAGGAAAGGGACGCTCAGAAACCGAGGACACTGTCTGAAGTCACTCTGCTTGTGCTGCACAGGGGCAGGGTTCTGATGCAGAGGATGACAATGTCAAGTTGAATTCTCTTTCTCCTGCACACTACTGCCCCTTGGGTAGTCTTTAACAGTTAGTGCTTCGATGGGTGGACATCCGAGGGGCCAGACGGTAGGAGTTTAGTGCAATTAAATTTCCTGTCTGAATTATAAATTTAGTGTTAGTAGACTGCTGCCCCAGATATGCATACTAACTAGCCATATTTAATACTTAGACATGAACCAGATGAATGACTTGCTCACACAATTCAAAACCAGAATGTTCTTGACTGTACAGTGCACAGCAACGATGGATTTGGATAAATTAGAACAGTAATTTGCTATGAAAACAACTGACAGATAAAAGCATTGCTACCAACTTCCTGACTGATAGAATGCAAGACACTGGGGCAAGAAGACAAATTCATTTGCTTATTCAAGATTTAGTAACTTCTTACATCTATAATTCATGCAGTGGAATAGCAGAGGCAGCTTTAGAGTAGGAGGGGCAGGCTAACTCCAGAGGAACAGCCACCAGCCAACCGTTCTTGAGTGTTTAGAAAGCCTATGCTGATGCTGGAAAGCTGTAGGGGATGTGGAAAGAACCTGAACAGGAAGACTAGAGACAGGAGTTCTAGATGTGGCCAGTAGCTAGTCATGTGACAAGAGACAAGTTTCTGTTTGACTGCAAACCCATGTCTTTAGTTGTAAAGGGATATGATTAGATGCTCTTGGAAGTCCCTTCTAGTTCTAAGTGTCTGTACATTTTGAATTCTAATCATATCATCTAGGATGTCCTGATTTGGTCAGGCATCAAAACAGCCAGTGTGTGTGTTTTCCATAGTAGGAAGAATGTAGCAATATAGACACATCTCATTCATTTGAACGGCGGAACAGAAAGGACTGGGAAGGAATGGATTCTTATGTGATTCCACTAATTTATACTCCTAATACTGACTGAGTTAAGATAAATGGTTTACATATGGAACTACCAACTTTTTCTTTCTTTACTGAGATTTCTTTGAGTTACTTACTTGCTTTGAGTAACAATAAGGTCTTCAGCATTTGAATTAAAAATGTTAAACTGCCACAAGGCCAACCACGGTTTGAGTCCCAGACCTGGTGGTTTGCTTTCTCTCTCTCTCTCTCTCCCTCTCTCTCTCTCTGTGTGTGTGTGTCTCACTCTGGTCAAATTAAGATAAGTGAATGAATAAATAAAATTAAATAAATAATTATTTTTTAAAAATGTTAAGCTGAAGCAGCTCCTGTTTACCTGGTAGGTGATGTGGAAGCAATAGCTGGCTTGTTAAAGGCAATATTCTCATAACAGTTTTCGTAGAAAGGTCTGGTGCTGGGCCAGCAGGAGGCATGGTGGTTAAGGCGCTGGACACTCCCATGTGGCTGACCACGGCTGACCGCAGTTCTGAGTCCTGACATGGTGGCTTGCTTTCTCATTTTCTCTCTCTCTCTCTCTCACTCTCTTGCTCTCTCGCTCTCTCTCTGTCTCTCTAGTCAAATTAAAAAATAAAAGAACAAATAAATAAAATAAAATAAATAATTTTTTTTTTTAAAAAAAGAAAGGTCTGGTGCTTGCCTACCTGAACTGGATAGAAATACGGAGCAGCTGTATCTTGAGGTGAGAGAGAGTTCCAGATACACTCTGAAAGGATAAATGCTTCCTGTTTCAAAAATGTGCATTCTGGCAACCTGTGTTTGTATAACTCCTCTAATTATAATGGAGAAAACTGGTTAAAAGGGATTAAGCTCCTTTTTTTGGCTTGTTAAAAAGTGTTCATTTATTTATTTGGCACGGTTGTGATATTGTGCGATTACGGTGGGGTAGGTGAAGCAGGAGAGAACATGCTTCAACATGTCAACACTGTATCAACAGTGAAAGTCAGCATTAAACCGGGCTGTTTTATATGTTGGAGCCCTCATTTTTTTCTTCACTGTGATAATGGGGCAGAGTTTAATTTTTGAAGTCACCTGTAGCTTAGAATGCTGTAATTCTCTTTACTTCTTTCCTGTTCTTCCTACATAATTTCGAATTAAAGGCTGACAGCAAAGAATTCACTGTGATTTGTCATGAAAGGCAAAAATGAAAAGTACATACACGTAATTTAATATTGCTATTTTATTATTTAGTCTGATCACAGAGGAAATGGCAGCTGATGTCATAGCCTGTCTTGTTTTCCATTTAGATCCCAGGAGGAATTTAGGAGCCATTTCCTTTGCCTCAACTTCTCAGACAGTGCTGCGCAAAGCATTCAGATGTACAACCTACCCATAAGAGAATTAAGTGCTTTAATTTCCATCACTGGAGAGGAATTTGTATTGCGAAGTCAGAGATTGATGACTCATGCTAGGAGAATAAATCCAAGGTAATATCACAGGAACTTTGTGTTTTGTAATTTATAGGGAAGTATAGGCTTTGGGTATTGAACAGTTCAAAGTCTTCATTTGACAGATAAGGAAACTGAGGCTCAGAGGGAAGCTAGTTAGAAGCAGAGCTAGTTCAGACTAGGGTGGGTCTATGGGCTCCAGGTTAAGCATCTTTCCTCGTAATACCTTGGTGCTTTTGATACTTTTGCCGTGAGTATTCTCATTGACAATCCTCTCCTTGGAGGTAAGGATTGGGAGGGCAAAGTGCTGATCAAGCCCAGTTTGGGAGGGACAAGGTAAAGGATAGCTGCTATTCAACAACAGGTAAAGGAAGCCCTTCTTTCCACATTTCCATACCTATAACCAGTAGTTCATCTGGACTACGTAATTATCCAGCTCCACACCTCTTCCTCATTCCTTCAGGAGATGATCATGGCCTAGAATTCCTAAAATAAAATTGATTTTGAGGTCCATTCAGGTCCCACAATGAATGAAATAAAAGTGAAGACACAGAAAGGCTAGCTGGACTTTCCATAAAGGTTGTTCTATGATAGGTACTAACCAGAGTCCTAACCTAGCAGATGCAATAACTTACTTCCAGAAATGATTGCCCAGCAAGAGGCATCTTCAGGAAGAGAGGGGACCTTTTGAACCTTGAAGGATAAGTAGAATTTTGATAACCTTGACTTCACTGTCATTTGTTTTCTATAATACCCTGTTCTCTGTTCTAATTTTTAGGACTTTGTTGTCTGGATGATTCATGAATATTTGATCTCTTTCCAAGTAAACTATAAGCACCTCCTGTACAAGGAACATGTCGTTGCACATTCTTTAATCCTCTGAGAAACTAGTAACAGGTATTTATACATGGTAAAAGCTCAATAAATGCCCCCTAGGTGAATGAATGAATAAGTAAATTTCATATCTGCCTCTGTTTAGAATTTAAACATTGGTGGCTTTGTATTGTGTTGTCAGAAATGTCATGACATATTTTTCTATGTAAAAATGATAACCCAATATGTTAGGCTGAAAAGAAATTATTCCCCAAAGGAATTTACCACAAATTCTACATAATATTTTATATATTTATTTATTTCACGCTGCTTTGGTACAACTTGGTTTTGCTTGGCTAGATAAAAATCATTTACATAATTTGAATTTATCATAGGTAAAGTTAAATAATGAACTTAGGGGGCTACCAGGTGACATGGTCATTTAGGAGTTGGACTCCCACATGGTTGACTGTGGTTTGAATCCTGGACCTGGTGGCTTGCTTTCTTACTTTCCCTCTCTTTCTCTCTTTATCTCTCTCTGATGAGCACACGTGCCCTATGGCAAAGTAAAAAATAAATAAATCATTGTTTAACAAAATGAGTGAACTAGAAATTGTGCACAGGTAGCCAGATTCCACATGTCGACCAGAGCAGAGTCCCAGCCCTGTTGGCTTGAAAAACATGCCTTCTTTGTGCACCAACGTACTTGCACCCAAGACCTTGACAGGATGGAGAATTGTAGGAAAAAGGATTATGGCATGACCAGGCCCAGTTGAGATGCGCTTTCTTGATCTCTCGCATGCACATGTACCCTCTGGCAAA